ACAGCATACTTACTGAACCTATCAACTATTACCATGACTTGGCTCTTGCCGTGCCTACTCTTGACATGGGTGTCCATAAAGTCAATGGACTCTGAATCCCCTGGCTGATCAGTAATAGGCAAGGGTCTGAGAAGACCTAGAGGGGCACGCGTAGAGGTCTTATTTCTTTGGCAGACCTTACAACTGCGGACATACTCTATGCAGTCGGCCTTCATCCCAGGCCATATGTACGCGAGCATGAGGTTAGCTATAGTCTTTTGCCAACCAAAATGTCCCTCAGTATCGTGGCATTCCCCTAGGATCGAACTACGGACCTCTTCACTGTTAGGAATGCACAATCGGTCAACTACGTTAATCTTCTCGAATAGTAGCCCATCAGTAGTGCGGTAGTCTGGTTCTGACTTTGGGGCCTGCTTTACTCTCTTGAGGAGGTCACTATAGATAGGGTCCTGCGCGTACGCCTCTCTAACTTTTTGTTGCAGGTCTCTCCCTATATCCAGATAATGAACTATCGCTCCAAAGTAGTCAGCTCTCCTACTCAGAGCGTCCGCAACTACATTATACTTCCCTTTGACTGGCTTCAGCTCAAAGTCATATTGGTCTAACTCTTCGGCCCACCTAGTAAGCTTAGGTGTCATCTTGGCCTGAGTCTTCAGCCACCTTAATGTCTCGTGGTGCCTCCCAAGCAAGTAGTGCTTCCAATGTTCTAAGGCTTGCCTGAGAGCGTAAAGTTCTCTTTCGTAGGTAGATGTCGCTACCTTCTCTGAAGGCATCCTAGCAGACATAAACTCTACGGGCCTATATCCATTGCCATCGTCTTGCTGTAATACAACACCTATACCATACTGGCTTGCGTCAGTGGTGACGACGAAAGGTAAGGACTGGGTATTCTATCAACACATGCTTCAACTTCTTCATGGCAGATGTGCAGTCCTTATCCCACTTCCAGATTGTTTCCTTCTTCAGCAACCTGCGAAGGGGAGCAGCGATGGTGGAGAAGTTTCTCACGAACTTCCTGTAATAGTTAGCTAGGCCAAAAAACGACCGCAATTCTGTCAACGTGCGGGGTGTAGGCCAATCTCTAATCGCTGCGATCTTGCTATCTTCTGGCTTAATACCGTCTCCGTCTAAGACATGGCCGAGATATAGGACTTGGGTTTTTGCCCATTCGCACTTCTTTGCGTTGATCTTGAAGTTAGCYTCTCTCAGCTTCTCCAAGACCTGCCTCAGATGACCCTCATGCTCCTGGAGGGTCCTACTGAACACTAGAATGTCATCTAAGTAAACTACTACGAATCTATCTACCCACGGCCTAAACAAGTCATTCATACAACGCTGAAAAGCCGCTGGCACGTTGGTTAGCCCAAAGGGCATGACTATGAACTCATAGTGCCCATATCTAGTCCGGAACGCGGTCTTATACTGATCCTCAGGATGGACCTCTATCTGATGATATCCGGACTTTAAATCTATCTTCAAAAAATACTTGCACCCCTGCACCTGATCTAAAAGATCATCTATACGGGGCAGTGGCTCTGCATTCCTTACTGTAATCGCATTGAGACCCCTATAATCTATACACATTCTGAGCTCTCCTTCCTTCTTGGGGACAAACAGAACAGGTGCTCCAAATGGAGACGAACTGGGCCTAATCCAACCCTTCTCTAGGAGCTCGTCTAATTGCTTGCGCAACTCCTCCAACTCCCGCGGGGACATCCTATACACTGCTCCCTTAGGAGTCCTACTGCCAGGTTCTATTTCAATGCAATGTTGAATTGGCCGTGGTACTACTCGTGTTGGCGACTTAGCTAGGTTTGTAAACTCTTCCAGTAGCTTGGCAATAGTAGGGTCTATAGGCTTCTCTACCTTAGGCTCGGTCACTGGCCTAACATAGGCTACAAAAACCTATTTCTCGAGCTGCTCCTTCACTAATCTTGCAAACGCAGGAGCGCTAAGGCAGCAATGTGCCAGGTAGTTATCTACTCCTGACACGTGGAACAGACGGGCAGTCTTGACTCCGCCTGACGGACTAGGGAGCCTACACTCATGCTCTCTCAGATGGAGTGTGGCCCCAACTGCCTCTCCCCAGTCCATTCCTAGGACTATGTCGAAAGGAAGGTTGTCCTCTACGAGGAGAGTCAGGGAATGGAGAACTTTCTCCACCTTCCCATCCTTCTCTAGGCGAAAGTACGCCTGGACTCCCTCTACGTAATCCTCTACTCGCATTGTGCGATTATCTGCGAGGATGCTCACTATGGGGTCTGCAAACTTCTGGACCTTTAGCCCCAACTTCAACTTCCGCAGCGCCTTTCTACTTACATAGTTGCGCGTCGCCCCACTATCTACTAGGGCCCCTACTCTACCTCTGAAAATCTCTACATCTACTAAAACCAGCTGTCATCTACTCTCCTTCTTCATCTTGGCCCAGGCGGGCATCCTCTCCTTCAGCTCATTGGCCACGCCTGTGAGGGAGGTGCCTAAAGAGACCCTAACACAAGCAGTCTCTGGACAGCTATCTAGGCACCGGCCTGCAACCTCTGCCATAGGCACATGTGGTGTGGGAGTTTCTTGCCGGCTCATGCTCATTTCCCCACATGGCCTTGTGGTGGGGGCAGTTGCTACCCCTACCGACGGCTGCCTTTTGACCCCTGGGCAGCCCATTGGGCCTCTCTATACTTTGGACAGTATTTGATGATGTGTCCAGGGTCACCACAATATATGCACTGCCCCTGGTCCACATGTTGTTGCCAGACGCGCTGGTCCAAGCCCAAGTCCTCCCAAGGCCTACCCTGTGGCAGACCTGGGTGCCATCCTCCTCTCCAATAGGGTGACCTATTCCCTAAACGGTTTTGCGGGGGACCTTGACCCCTTTCTCCCGCTTGGCGGTTTCCTCCTCTACCACCAACCCCCTAATCGCCCTGGGAACGGCCCCCTGAGGCCCGGGCCCCTTGGCCCCGGCCTCTACCTCCTCCTTGCGGCCTCCCTCCAGCCGCGACAGCAGCGTAAGTCCTCCCCTGGCTAACGCCACTGTCCTCCTCCTCTAGTCCCCACTCAATCTGCTCGTAGGGGACTTCGTCGACACCACCCGCATCTAATGTAAGGATCAAACGATCCTTGGTCTTGACCTGACCCGAGATGGTGCGACCCTTCCACTTTTTGCCTTTGTCCAGGTCCTTATGCCAAAAAGTGGAAATTGACATGGACCTCGCCTCGAACACCACCACTTCCCTGCTCAATGCGTCGTAGGTCATGGTGGGCTGTTGGCTCTTCTCAAAGAAGTGCCCTCGTAATTGCTCGGGCATAGCCCGGTAGAAGAGGTTGCCCAATTGGGTCTTTGTGACCCCATGGTCCGGGATGGCGACTAACTCGTCCATTACGCCCTTGAGTGCCCTGACACTCTTCCACTGGCGGGAGTGGATGGTTTGCAGTCTATCAGAGGCTTTGACACTACGCGAAACGTCTGCAAACCGTTCCCTTAATAACTTAAGGAATTCAGTGAGAGGAGTGAATGCACAATAAGCAACTAAATTGTCATTGCAGTTAGCGGCGCGGCACAAGGAACGGGCAAAGCTTGCTGCTTCGTCCCGAAGGGCATGGATGGCTATCAGGACATGCTCATCCGGAGAGACCTTCTGCAGATGGACGTAGGTTTTGACATTGGCTTCCCAATGGTCAAAATTCTCCTCTTGCTTCCCGCTATAGGAGTCAGGGAACTTGACCTTGACCGGCTCTCTACGGGGACGTGCTTCCTCCTCCTTGGGGCAGTCAATTTGGCGCCTTCTATGGCGCCTGTACAATAACGTTCTATGCCCTCTAGGCGGGCCCTCACCTCTGCGCCCACCTGCGTCGCCAATTCCCTGGCGAAATCCCGGAGCCCCAACCATATAGAGCGTACAACAATGTCTTGACCTCTACCAAACAGGTATTGTTCTTCCTGGACCCGTGCCAGGCGCTCTATGTTTTTCGCCATTACTTTCATCTTCCCCAACAAGTCCACTTGCGTCGCCATCTGGTCTCTCTGCTTCTTCACCTCTTCCAATTCTTTCGCCACCTCGCTCGCCGCATCCATTCTCCTTTTCCTCTCCCTCATCAATCGGAATTTCCACTCCATCCTTTTCTCATCCTCCATTGCCTGCCGCTTGAGTGGGTCTTCTTCGGCATCCCACGCTCTTATTGCGGCCTCTTGTTCTTCCCTGGGCACATACATCAGTGCCTCTTCTTCTTCTCCCAGGGATATGCCAGCAACCCACTCCGTAATCTTCTTCTCCATCTGGTGTTCCTTAGTACCACTGGATTCACCTCTTCCTCCTACCCTTCGCCTTTCCAGTGGCCGTTCGTCCTCCTCTTCCTCCTCTTCTACCGCCTTGAGCTTCTCTTCTTCTTCTCTCTTTAGCCTCTCCCTCTCTCTGGCCATCTCCTCCTCAATCTTCTTTAATTTCGCCGCCTGTTCTTCCAACAGGGCCTTCTTCTTAGCCTCCTCTCTTCTCTCCTTCAGGAGAGTGGCGTCTTTCGCCTCCTGTTCTGCTGTATAAGGGGAGGTGCTCCGACCACTACGCGTGTCAACCATGGTGAAAGGTGCACAACTAAATGACGGTTCCGCTCCTCACCACTTAGACTCTCCCCCTAACTGACTCAACTTAAGACTGACTCGATCTATGGACCACAGGGTTCGTAGAGAGCCTTGTCAACTATGGTCTCTAGCCTAGACTCTAATCACTACAGTCGTCACTACAAAACCTGTTGCTGACCAGGAGGCATTTAAGGAGATCCCCCGTAACTCCTCAGGAATTCTTACAGGACGATGCGGTCAGCAGGTTCTCTCAAGACTTAGACGGCCCGTTGTGCAGCCCACAGCTCGGATTTTGGGCCTACCGAGCAGCCCGCCGGTCAGTATCAGTCGTTGGGAGGGTTCGTGTCCTCTGGGACAGTCGAGTCGTCAGACACAGTCTTTAGCCCTACTCAGCCCGTGTGGGTTTGGTCAACGAGGCCCTATCCTTCACACACGGAGTCCTATCACCTGGACAGAAGAGACTCAATGCAGAAAGAAGAGACAGACAAACTCAAACTCAGCAAGTACCACAGGGTGAGTGCACATCCATAGGGCGAGGGGATAGGCTGAGGGCTTGGCGAAATTATACCAACTCCAGCTTGGTCAAAATCCTGGTCAACAGCTCCGGTCAACGCCTTGGTCAATGCTTGGTCAACATGATCAAACCCCGATCAACGCTTAGGTCAACCCTCCGGTCAACACCTGGTCGACGCCCGGTCAACCCTTGGTCAACGCCAGGTCAACCCTCCAAGTCGGCTATGGCTGCTGGCACCTCCTTCCTCGCGACCCTTCACTTCTCTTTCCCCCTCCTTCACCTTTCTTCTTTCTCCTTCTTCTTTTTTTTTTTGTTCACCCTCGGCTATGTCTGTCTTCTACTTCGTTGTCCCTCCTTCCTCCTTCCTCAGCTATGCCTCCCTCTTCCTCTCCGGTCTCTCCTCCCTTCTCCACTTCTTCTTCCTTCGTCAACCCCGTGTCCGAGCTCTGCGGCTATGGCCGCTACTTTGTCTTGGACCGCACAACCAATCTCGTATCTCTCAACTCTCTCTCTTTGTGGTGATGTCTTCAGCACAGGTGCGTAGCAAACCAATCTTGTATCGCTCAGCTCTCTCTCTCTCTCTCTCTCTCTCTCTCTCTCTCTCTCTCTCTCTCTCTCTCTCTCTCTC